CCCCCCCCCCCCTTAGTCCATAGTGGTCATTAGAATATAATATTAGGAATTTAGGATGAAATTCATTTAAAAAATCTCGGAATCGGAGCTAATTTGGATGAATTCGAATGTCTGAATTTAAAGAAATTTGTCCGACGTGCGTCCCGGGTGTCGTGCGGAGCAGCGCAACTGTGAACTTAGCCTTATAGTTTTTCCTAAAGCTTCAGTGAAAATCATAAAATTTCAGCAAATTTTTGGCAAATCGATGGGAAATGCAAATTTAAAGCTGAAGTTTATTCTGCTTAGATTTTGCCTTCCCTGGTTCCTCTTTTCTACCCTCATCAACACGGTCATTGCATTTTTATTCCCAGTGATGTCACCACCGGGTCCCTGGGCTTCTCTATGCATAGCAGGCAGGTCATAGCTGGTGGGATGGGCTGTACATGGCTTCCTGAAAACATCACAGCACTGTGCCTAAGTACGTCGATCAAGAGCCCTCAGCCCTGATGCAAGCAGTGGGCGGGCTCTTGGGAGGAGTTATGCAAATATCAAAATGCCTTGATGGGTAGGTGTCAGTCTGGAGGAGTGGGTGGTCCTTTGCAGGCTTCATATGCATACAGAAAGCCCTAGGTTATGCCCACATGTGATGCCGAGATTCCATGAATGAAAGGGGCGGGATAGGGACTGTCCATCCATTCCTGAGATTTATATAGCTCTGCCCCTATAGAGCTTCCATGACTGAAAGACCAGCCATGCACCGCTGCTCCGGATTCTGTCTGCTCCAGTTTTGATAAATTCCCCTCATAGGGCTTAATTCACAAATATTTCACACAAGGAAAATTAATCTTTATTTTAGCTGCGTGACAGTTATTTTTAAATCTCATTGGACATGAAAATAACTGTCACTTTATGGAAACAAAAAACTGTCACTTTATTGAAACAAAAAACTGTCACTTTATTGAAACAAATAACTGTCACTTTATTTAAACAAATAACTGTCACTTTATGGAAACAAATAACTGTCACTTTATGGAAACAAATAACTGTAACTTTATGGAAACAAATAACTGTCACTTTATGGTTTATTTTTCTTTATATTTTGTACAGTATTATATTACAGTACAGTATTGTAATCATTTTATATGAATATTTTTGGGTTGTGGAACGAATCCTCTGAATTTCCATTATTTCCTATGGGGAAATTCGCTTTGATATACAAGCGGTTTGGATTACAAGCATGCTGCCGGAACAAATTATGCTCGTAAACCAAGGTATTACTGTATCCTTTTTGGTATGTGAGCTTTGTGAACGGAGCCTATGGCAGCGTGTCCGTTCCCTATAATCCCGCACAACACATTTCACGCTACATCGCATCTGACATCTGTATGTTGCCATTGAATGTAGAGATGATTGACTTTCCATGTGACTTTCCTTTTCCAGGTAGATTTCGAAGATGTCATCGCGGAGCCGTACGGCGTTCAAAGCTTCGATGGCGTCTGGAAGGCCAGCTACACCAGCTTCACCGTCACCAAGTACTGGTGCTACCGGCTGCTCTCCACCCTGATCGGCGTCCCCCTGTCCGTCGTCTGGGGGGTCCTCTTCGCCCTCGTCTCCTTCTGCCACATCTGGGCGGTGGTGCCCTGCGTCAAGAGCTACCTGATCGAGATCCAGTGCGTGGGCAGGACGTTCTCCCTCTGCGTCCGCACCTTCTGCGACCCGTTCTTTGAGGCCGTGGGAAAGGTCTTCAGCGCCGTCAAAGTCACGCTGCAAAAGCAGGTGTGACCACCGCCGCCAAGACCGGTGACCGCGCCAGATGGAGAGAAGAGGGAAACACTGCAAAGGTTCATGGGACGTTGTCATTTTATAGCCTTTTTTTTTAAAAATCTGCTTTTGTCCAAAAAAAAATATTCCTTCAGTTTTTTTCTGTCTTTTTGTCTAATTTGAGTGAAAAACAAAAAAATACGGAATTTGTTTTATTTGGTAGTTTTTTTGAAGTTCCACCTGACAGCCGGTCGCTCCTTTTGCGCCGGAGGCAAGAACAAAAAAATGTGCAGGAGAAAGCACTTCCTCAGTTTCCCCTCCCCCAGTGATCAGTCTGCTGCAGGCAGGAGGAAGCATTTCCTCAGTCCCCCCTCCCCCAGTGATCAGTGTGCTGCAGGCAGGAGGAAGCATTTCCTCAGTCTCCCCTCCCCCCAGTGATCAGACTGCAACATTGTAGCTGTGTATCCAGTCACATGGTGAGCGGCGTCAGCAGGGTCTGATCTTTCTCAGACATTTGTGAACACAGCGAAGAACTGCACAGATCCAGGATTGATATTGGTCTCTGAGAAAGTCTCAGTCCAGGAAGTAGATGGTGACCCTGGATGATGCCTGAACAAAGATGGCGCCCTCCTGCTGGAGAGAAAAGCAGTTGAAGACATTGTCAGGGGGGTAATGTGATCTCTGTGAGAGGTAATAAATACCTGGAAGCGTTACGCTGGCACATCGCTTACCATGCTGCACTGAACATCAATGTTGTTTAGGTGACAGGTCCACATGGTGGTGGGGGGCGCACTGTTTGACCATCCAGCAGATCATTTGTTTCCAAAGCAAACGCACAAACAACTCTGCAAGTCGCCTCCTGCGGAGCGGCGGCAATCTCCTCCACAAAACGCATTCACGAAGCCGCCGCTTAATTATAAATAGAATCACAAAGGAGGCGACAAGCGACCGGCCGGGAAATCAACAATTACAAATGTCATCACTCTGCGATTGGATTTGGAGAAATCCAAATCCAATCAATATTTGGGGTGACCCCCCCCCCCCCTTTTACTTCCCCCAAGGGGGTGGAGGACCGCGGGGGGG